AATTCGCCTTTTCAAACATGTGGCACATCCCACATTTCATTAGATCAATTTCCAAAATTTAAATTCCATGTCGCAAATTTAAACATACACGCTGATGGTATACTCGGTAATGATTTCATGTCAAAATTTAATGTCAACATTTATATTCAATCAAAAACGATGCGAATACATGACAGGACTTATCAGTTGTTCCTTCTGGGAGATGAACCAAAGTACTTTGATAATGGTAAACAAATTATCAAACGTCGTTCGGAGACAGTTATATCATGTTTAACTAATGATATATCAGACGGAACTGCAATGATAAATAAGCAAAACATTAGTAACGATATCTGTATTCCTAATGCTCTTGTTAATGTCAAAAATAATAGCTTTCTCATTACTTGTGTAAACTCGAGTGATAATGACGTATATATTTCAACGCCTATTATAGATGTAAATTCTGTTAACGAATCGGAACTAATTCAACAGTCTGTTTCCTTACCCAATTCACAAATTAACAACATCTCTATAAAACAAAGAATAGATATCGAGAGCCTTATAAGGTGTGATCATTTAAATAAAGAAGAACGTGAATCTCTCGAAAAAATAACTTCAGAATATTCGGACATTTTCTACGTGGAAGGCGATCCACTAACGTTCACGAATCACACTAAACATTCTATTCCTACTACGTCAGATATACCAATTAATACTAAAACTTATAGATTCCCTCAAGTACACCAACAAGAAGTAAGAAATCAGATAGACAAAATGTTACAACAGAATATTATAAAAGATAGTACTTCTCCATGGAGCAGTCCAATCTGGGTAGTTCCAAAAAAATTAGACGCGTCTGGAAAACAAAAATGGCGTATTGTAATTGATTATAGAAAATTAAATGACGTCACTATTGGAGATAGTTACCCGTTGCCTAACATAACTGACATACTAGATAAGTTAGGACATTCAGTATATTTCACAACTTTAGATTTGGCATCCGGTTTCCATCAAATTGAATTAGACCCCAAGGATATTCCCAAAACTGCCTTCAGCACTCCTTTTGGTCATTACGAATTTTTAAGAATGCCTTTCGGACTCAAAAATGCACCAGCTACATTCCAACGTGCCATGGATAGTGTACTTTACGGATTACAAGGAGAACGATGCTTTGTTTATCTTGATGATATCGTAGTGTTTGCATCCAGCCTTCAAGAACATAAACAGAAATTAACTGAAGTATTCGATCGGTTACGAAAATACGGTCTGAAAATACAACCAGATAAATGCGAATTCTTGAGAAAAGAAGTTGCTTACCTGGGTCATATTATATCGAGTGAAGGTGTAAAGCCAAATCCCGAAAAAGTAAAATCAGTTCGTGAGTTTCCAGTCCCTAAATCATGTAAAGATATTAAATCATTTCTTGGTCTCGCAGGCTACTATCGTAGGTTCATACCTAACTTTAGTAAGCTCACTAAGCCTTTAACAAGCTTATTAAGAAAGGATGTTCCGTTTACATGGAGTTGTGTACAACAGCAGGCTTTTGACTCCTGTAAGGAAATTCTCACAACGACTCCTCTGTTACAGTATCCTGATTTTACTAAAGAGTTTATATTAACTACGGATGCTTCAATCCACGCTATCGGAGCGATTCTCTCGCAAGGTGAAATTGGCAAAGATTTACCTATTGCTTACGCATCACGTACGTTAAATAAAGCTGAAAGTAATTACTCTACTATAGAGCGCGAACTTCTCGCAATAGTATGGGCCGTGAAACACTTTCGACCATATTTATTCGGTAGAAAATTTAAAATATTTACTGATCACAAACCACTCACATGGTTATTTTCCATTAAAGATCCGGGATCACGTCTCGTTCGCTGGAGACTGAAACTAGAAGAATATGAATATGAAATTAATTACAAAGCCGGAAAAAATAATACAAACGCCGATGCCTTATCACGACCACCTATATTAAATATGGGTACAGACAATCCTGACAAACAATTTGAAACATTATTAAAAACAAACTATGAACAATTCTTATCTCAAGGTTGTAGCGCTAATTCACATAAGCTTAAAACTTCACCTGAAAATCTTTTAGAGTCTAATCATAAAAATATCTTCATCCCTGTGTCGTGTCAAAAATCAGATCTTAATAACTTATACAACGAAGCTTTAGATCTATGTGCTTCCCAAAGCAATCAACCTGAAACAGAAAAGCAAGTCTACGACATAGATAAAATAACTTCTGAATATCAGCAAAACATTTTCCTTTGTTATACTAGAACATCATACTATGATCCATGGGACGCGGAGAGTTATTTTAAATCATTGTTATCGTGCTTACATAAGCATAATATTGAAACTTTGTATATACCGAACCTGAAATATGATCAAACTTGCAAGCTTCAGGGCAACCAACAGCTACATATCTCAGCTTATTTGGCAGAAATATATAATTGCAATATAATCATTTGCGAGAATAAAATTACTCATCCTTCGCCTCAGGAAATTCCCAGCATTCTAAAAACATACCATGATGAACCGCTCTCAGGACATCGAGGTATAATTGAAACCACTAGGAAAATTCGAGAACATTACTTCTGGAAAAACATGGCCGAAGACATCAAAAATTACATAAACTCTTGTGAAATATGTCAGCGCAATAAGATTCAAAGAAAAACTTTTAAAGCTCCAATGGTATTAACATCCCAATCTAATGAACCTTTTGAACGTGTTTCTATAGACTTAGTATCATATTCTGACATTAGTGACAATAATAACAAATACATATTGACACTACAAGATGAACTAACTAGGTACGTCCAAGCTTATCCAATTTCTGATAAAGAAGCTCTAACAGTTGCTAAGCAACTCTTTCACTTCTGTCAACATTTCGGTGTACCTAGACGTTTCCATTCTGACCAAGGTACTGAATTCATGAATGGACTAATGAAGCAATTAATAAGACTTCTCGGTACAAGTCAAACTTTTAATACAGCTTACCACCCTCAAACTAATGGTGCATTAGAAAGGTTTCATGCCACACTTCGAGATCACATACGAATGTACCAAGCACGTAAATTGAAAAATTGGGATCAAATAATTCCACTGGCTATTATATGTCATAACACCTCAGTTAATAGCTCTACAGGTTTCACACCCTACGAACTTCTATTTGGTTTTAAACCAAGACCTTTTTATTCATTAAAAACAATACCCGATTATACTGCATTCGATTATATTAAAGATTTAAACGAACGACTTAGAATAGCCCGCGATGTCGCAACACAGAACGTTCAGAAAATGAAAGAAAAAGCCAAGGAACGTTACGACGGGAAAATTAAAAATATTGCTAAATTTAATGTAGGTGACAAGGTGATGATCAAGGTCCCTAACCCAAATAATTTAGATAATAAGTGGGAAGGGCCATTCGATGTGATACGTGTAGGCTTTAATGAAAATTATGTTATTCGTAAATCCGGGAGACATCAGTTAGTTCACGCAAATAGATTAAGACCTTATGAAATAAATAAACTCGTTAATTAAATAAATAATTAGCCGTGTGGTAGCCGGCTTTACCAAAGAATAGCACCAACGTTCAGATTTGACGTGTCGTAGAAGGCGACTAACAAACAAGTAGCCGTGTGGAAGCCGGCTTTACCAAAGAATAGCACCAACGTTCAGATTTGACGTGTCGTAGAAGGCGACTAACAAACAAGTAGCCGTGTAGTAGTCGGCTTTACCAAAGAATAACACTGACGTTCAGATTTGACGTGTCGTATAAGGCGACTAACAAACAAGTAGCCGTGTGGAAGCCGGCTTTACCAAAGAATAGCACCAACGTTCAGATTTGACGTGTCGTAGAAGGCGACTAACAAACAAGTAGCCGTGTAGTAGTCGGCTTTACCAAAGAATAACACTGACGTTCAGATTTGACGTGTCGTAGAAGGCGACTAACAAACAATCAGCCGTGTAGTAGTCGGCTTTACCAAAGAATAGCACTGACGTTCAGATTTGACGTGTCGTATAAGGCGACTAACAAACAATGAGCCGTATAGACGCCGGCTTGTACAAAGAATAGCTCTAACATGTTAAGTTGTTTCCACATCAAACAACTTATAGTATTAATTTATTATAAGCAATATTCAAAATCAATTAAATCAATAATTCCTCAATAATCAATTAAATCAATAATTATTCTATAAGCAATGAAATCAATAATTCTTCTATAATCAATTAAATCAATAATTCTTCAATAATCAATTAAATCAACAATTCTTCTATAATCAATTAAATCAATAATTCTTCTATAATCAATTTAATAAATAATTCTTCAATAATCAATTAAATCAATAATTCTTCTATAATCAATTTAATCAATAATTCTTCAATAATCAATTAAATCAATAATTCTTCAATAATCAATTAAATCAATAATTCTTCAATAATCAATTAAATCAATAATTCTTCTATAATCAATTAAATCAATAATTCTTCAATAATCAATTAAATCAATAATTCTTCAATAATCAATTAAATCAATAATTCTTCAATAATCAATTAAAGCAATAATTCTTCAATAATCAATTAAATCAATTCGACTTGCACTATTACGCGACGGATCCTACCGACTGCGCCAAAATTGTTATGGGGCAGGGTTTTAACACAGTTGGTGTTTTTGAAATGACTAGACTCGTAGAGTATCTGAATTGAACTGTCTTTATTATTACAAATCGTCCATATATATAGTAGAGATATCTTAATTACTATTTACAATTACAATAGTCAAATACTTCCATCGAAAGAGTGACAACAAATACAGATAATAACTTACTAATGGAAATTTGTATGAGATAAACAAATATACAAATATGAATATTAAACAATATAATGATTTCGATATCAAATGGACAAATACAAATATACAAATAGGAATGTCAAATATTATAATGATTAGGTCGTAGGCTGACACATGGTCTTAGGTCACGTACTCTTAATATATGTAACACCTCCCCCTTAGAATAAAGATTGGGCTTGAGAGCTTAATCTTTGAACTCTCGGTGTTGAAGTTCTTGGATAATTTTCTTCATTTTCCTCTTCGTCTTCCGTTACGCAGGTACTTGTTGCTATAGTAGTCATCGGGACGGCAACTTGGGTTCTCTGACGTCGTGATGTGTTTGAAAAACAGTTGTTAAATATTTGTATACAACTATTATCACGGCTTGGTCTTCGGTTACGCAGGAGTAATCCATTAGGACAACGTTTGCTAATTTTATAAATGAAGTATCCTAGCATTGTTATGAATAACACGAAGTATATCCATGTAAACGTTGACGAATATCTTTGTAAGATTGGTCGAGATCTCATATTTTCTAAGCTTTCCTTAAATTTATCGACATGATGTTTTATTTGTTTCAGTGAATCCAAAGGCATTTCATTAATTTTAATAGGAATTAAGTTTGGAGCTTCAAAGTTCTTGTATTCTTCAAAGCAATCGTCTGTTCTAATGTCTGGAACTATTACAGGATATGTTACATTTTCTTCAATAGATTGAAAGGCTGTTAGCGTACTATACCCAGTATAAAGTTTGCAGTTTTCCGGTAAGGATAAAATGCCTGCTCCTTGTAATTTATGATGTGTAACTTCCGTTTTACATTGAAGTATACAATTAGTGTCTTCTGTAAGTATGTAAAGCCATTGGTTGTTGTCAATGTTTTGAAAAGTGTTAATTCTTGCTTCAAATGTGGATGTGGTACAAATTTCAGGTAAAGTCTTTGAAATGCTTAACAGGATCTGGAGCTCACATAATGGACGTGATGCTGCTTCATATGCGACAAAAGAGGTGCAGATCTTCTTCTTTATAGCGTAGGACTTGCATGAAGTGAGGTCGCTCGTAGATACGTATATATTACCGCTAGGATTTGTAGCCAAATGCATGTGCTCAGGTAGGATGGTTGTATGCAGAGAGGAATTAAAATGTTGGATTGGAATGGAATATATGTGATAGAGATTGAGAGGTTCGCCTTGAATTAATGGAAAATCTAATATGTATACAAGCCTATCAGAATATACATAAGCAGAAAGAGAAGATAAGTTTAATATTTGATTTTACGAACAATATGCTTGCTAAACAATCATTAATTTCATTTTCTAGATTTATTACGGATTCTACTATCTGCAAAGAAATTACGGAAATGTCTACACGAGCCTAATCTAAAGATTTAAAATAAAGAACCTTTTAACTTGAATGTAAGTCATCGTTGAGACTGAATATTTTCATTAATTATTCGATCATCATAAGTTATCTTAAATATACTTTCATTGAAGTTTTTAGTTGTTGAAGAAATAATTAAGATTTGTTCGAGCATCAAGAAAGAAGATTCTATTACAAGTTTTTTTTAATTTATTAAGGTAATATCGAATTGAACAAACATAAGAACTATTATTTATAAATTTATGTTTTAATTATGTTTTATTTTTTATTAGAAATAAAGACGATTTTAGGACGATTCGTAAGCTAACGAATATAACAAAAATGATATTTTGTATAATGATTAAAATTGATTGATTATTGAAGAATTATTGATTTAATTGATTATTGAAGAATTATTGATTTAATTGATTATTGAAGAATTATTGCTTTAATTGATTATTGAAGAATTATTGATTTAATTGATTATTGAAGAATTATTGATTTAATTGATTATTGAAGAATTATTGATTTAATTGATTATAGAAGAATTATTGATTTAATTGATTATTGAAGAATTATTGATTTAATTGATTATTGAAGAATTATTGATTTAATTGATTATTGAAGAATTATTGATTAAATTGATTATAGAAGAATTATTGATTTAATTGATTATTGAAGAATTATTTATTAAATTGATTATAGAAGAATTATTGATTTAATTGATTATAGAAGAATTGTTGATTTAATTGATTATTGAAGAATTATTGATTTAATTGATTATAGAAGAATTATTGATTTCATTGCTTATAGAATAATTATTGATTTAATTGATTATTGAGGAATTATTGATTTAATTGATTTTGAATATTGCTTATAATAAATTAATACTATAAGTTGTTTGATGTGGAAACAACTTAACATGTTAGAGCTATTCTTTGTACAAGCCGGCGTCTATACGGCTCATTGTTTGTTAGTCGCCTTATACGACACGTCAAATCTGAACGTCAGTGCTATTCTTTGGTAAAGCCGACTACTACACGGCTGATTGTTTGTTAGTCGCCTTATACGACACGTCAAATCTGAACGTCAGTGTTATTCTTTGGTAAAGCCGACTACTACACGGCTACTTGTTTGTTAGTCGCCTTATACGACACGTCAAATCTGAACGTCAGTGGTAAAGCCGACTATTCTTTGGTAATACGACACGTCAAATCTAACGTCACGCCTTCTACGACACGTCAAATCTGAACGTTGGTGCTATTCTTTGTAAAGCCGGCTTCCACACGGCTACTTGTTTGTTAAACGCCGACTACTATTCTTTGGTAAAGCGGCTACACGGCTACTTGTTTGTTAGTCGCCTTATACGACACGTCAAATCTGAACGTTGGTGCTATTCTTTGGTAAAGCCGGCTTCCATAATTGTTTGGTCGCCTTATACGACACGTCAAATCTGAACTCAGTGTTATTCTTTGGTACACTACTACACGGCTACTTGTTTGTTAGTCGCCTTCTACGACACGTCAAATCTGAACGTTGGTGCTATTCTTTGGTAAAGCCGGCTTCCACACGGCTAATTATTTATTTAATTAACGAGTTTATTTATTTCATAAGGTCTTAATCTATTTGCGTGAACTAACTGATGTCTCCCGGATTTACGAATAACATAATTTTCATTAAAGCCTACACGTATCACATCGAATGGCCCTTCCCACTTATTATCTAAATTATTTGGGTTAGGGACCTTGATCATCACCTTGTCACCTACATTAAATTTAGCAATATTTTTAATTTTCCCGTCGTAACGTTCCTTGGCTTTTTCTTTCATTTTCTGAACGTTCTGTGTTGCGACATCGCGGGCTATTCTAAGTCGTTCGTTTAAATCTTTAATATAATCGAATGCAGTATAATCGGGTATTGTTTTTAATGAATAAAAAGGTCTTGGTTTAAAACCAAATAGAAGTTCGTAGGGTGTGAAACCTGTAGAGCTATTAACTGAGGTGTTATGACATATAATAGCCAGTGGAATAATTTGATCCCAATTTTTCAATTTACGTGCCTGGTACATTCGTATGTGATCTCGAAGTGTGGCATGAAACCTTTCTAATGCACCATTAGTTTGAGGGTGGTAAGCTGTATTAAAAGTTTGACTTGTACCGAGAAGTCTTATTAATTGCTTCATTAGTCCATTCATGAATTCAGTACCTTGGTCAGAATGGAAACGTCTAGGTACACCGAAATGTTGACAGAAGTGAAAGAGTTGCTTAGCAACTGTTAGAGCTTCTTTATCAGAAATTGGATAAGCTTGGACGTACCTAGTTAGTTCATCTTGTAGTGTCAATATGTATTTGTTATTATTGTCACTAATGTCAGAATATGATACTAAGTCTATAGAAACACGTTCAAAAGGTTCATTAGATTGGGATGTTAATACCATTGGAGCTTTAAAAGTTTTTCTTTGAATCTTATTGCGCTGACATATTTCACAAGAGTTTATGTAATTTTTGATGTCTTCGGCCATGTTTTTCCAGAAGTAATGTTCTCGAATTTTCCTAGTGGTTTCAATTATACCTCGATGTCCTGAGAGCGGTTCATCATGGTATGTTTTTAGAATGCTGGGAATTTCCTGAGGCGAAGGATGAGTAATTTTATTCTCGCAAATGATTATATTGCAATTATATATTTCTGCCAAATAAGCTGAGATATGTAGCTGTTGGTTGCCCTGAAGCTTGCAAGTTTGATCATATTTCAGGTTCGGTATATACAAAGTTTCAATATTATGCTTATGTAAGCACGATAACAATGATTTAAAATAACTCTCCGCGTCCCATGGATCATAGTATGATGTTCTAGTATAACAAAGGAAAATGTTTTGCTGATATTCAGAAGTTATTTTATCTATGTCGTAGACTTGCTTTTCTGTTTCAGGTTGATTGCTTTGGGAAGCACATAGATCTAAAGCTTCGTTGTATAAGTTATTAAGATCTGATTTTTGACACGACACAGGGATGAAGATATTTTTATGATTAGACTCTAAAAGATTTTCAGGTGAAGTTTTAAGCTTATGTGAATTAGCGCTACAACCTTGAGATAAGAATTGTTCATAGTTTGTTTTTAATAATGTTTCAAATTGTTTGTCAGGATTGTCTGTACCCATATTTAATATAGGTGGTCGTGATAAGGCATCGGCGTTTGTATTATTTTTTCCGGCTTTGTAATTAATTTCATATTCATATTCTTCTAGTTTCAGTCTCCAGCGAACGAGACGTGATCCCGGATCTTTAATGGAAAATAACCATGTGAGTGGTTTGTGATCAGTAAATATTTTAAATTTTCTACCGAATAAATATGGTCGAAAGTGTTTCACGGCCCATACTATTGCGAGAAGTTCGCGCTCTATGGTAGAGTAATTACTTTCAGCTTTATTTAACGTACGTGATGCGTAAGCAATAGGTAAATCTTTGCCAATTTCACCTTGCGAGAGAATCGCTCCGATAGCGTGGATTGAAGCATCCGTAGTTAATATAAACTCTTTAGTAAAATCGGGATATTGTAACAGAGGAGTCGTTGTGAGAATTTCCTTACAGGAGTCAAAAGCCTGCTGTTGTACACAACTCCATGTAAACGGAACATCCTTTCTTAATAAGCTTGTTAAAGGCTTAGTGAGCTTACTAAAGTTAGGTATGAACCTACGATAGTAGCCTGCGAGACCAAGAAATGATTTAATATCTTTACATGATTTAGGGACTGGAAACTCACGAACTGATTTCACTTTTTCGGGATTTGGCTTTACACCTTCACTCGATATAATATGACCCAGGTAAGCAACTTCTTTTCTCAAGAATTCGCATTTATCTGGTTGTATTTTCAGACCGTATTTTCGTAACCGATCGAATACTTCAGTTAATTTCTGTTTATGTTCTTGAAGGCTGGATGCAAACACTACGATATCATCAAGATAAACAAAGCATCGTTCTCCTTGTAATCCGTAAAGTACACTATCCATGGCACGTTGGAATGTAGCTGGTGCATTTTTGAGTCCGAAAGGCATTCTTAAAAATTCGTAATGACCAAAAGGAGTGCTGAAGGCAGTTTTGGGAATATCCTTGGGGTCTAATTCAATTTGATGGAAACCGGATGCTAAATCTAAAGTCGTGAAATATACTGAATGTCCTAACTTATCTAGTATGTCAGTTATGTTAGGCAACGGGTAACTATCTCCAATAGTGACGTCATTTAATTTTCTATAATCAATTACAACACGCCATTTTTGTTTTCCAGACGCGTCTAATTTTTTTGGAACTACCCAGATTGGACTGCTCCATGGAGAAGTACTATCTTTTATTATATTCTGTTGTAACATTTTGTCTATCTGATTTCTTACTTCTTGTTGATGTACTTGAGGGAATCTATAAGTTTTAGTATTAATTGGTATATCTGACGTAGTAGGAATAGAATGTTTAGTGTGATTCGTGAACGTTAGTGGATCGCCTTCCACGTAGAAAATGTCCGAATATTCTGAAGTTATTTTTTCGAGAGATTCACGTTCTTCTTTATTTAAATGATCACACCTTATAAGGCTCCCGATATCTATTCTTTGTTTTATAGAGATGTTGTTAATTTGTGAATTGGGTAAGGAAACAGACTGTTGAATTAGTTCTGATTCGTTAACAGAATTTACATCTATAATAGGCGTTGAAATATATACGTCATTATCACTCGAGTTTACACAAGTAATGAGAAAGCTATTATTTTTGACATTAACAAGAGCATTAGGAATACAGATATCGTTACTAATGTTTTGCTTATTTATCATTGCGGTTCCGTCTGATATATCATTAGTTAAACATGATATAACTGTCTCCGAACGACGTTTGATAATTTGTTTACCATTATCAAAGTACTTTGGTTCATCTCCCAGAAGGAACAACTGATAAGTCCTGTCATGTATTCGCATCGTTTTTGATTGAATATAAATGTTGACATTGAATTTTGACATGAAATCATTACCGAGTATACCATCAGCGTGTATGTTTAAATTTGCGACATGGAATTTAAATTTTGGAAATTGATCTAATGAAATGTGGGATGTGCCACATGTTTGAAAAGGCGAATTTTCATTAGAGATACCAATAATAGAAACGACGTTTGATGTATCGATGGTATTTTTACCGATTTTATTTTTATTTATAACTGAAATGGCTGCTCCCGTGTCTACTAATAACGTAACTGGTTGGCCATCAATATGAAATTTACAGTGCAAAAGATTTTCAGGAGGTATATTTAATGTAGAGATATTGTAAGATTCATTAGGATAAGCTCTTTTCTTTATTTGATTCGATTTTAGTTTTATTTTTGATTTTTGTTTCGATTTACGAGATTTTTTTGATTTTTTAGTCTTTGTAGTTTGTTGATTGCGCATGGGATTTGAATTAGATTCTTTTAATATAGGTTTTAGACATTGATCTTTTTCAGAATTAGTGGAATTAGTGATACAATCTACAGAGTTAATAGGTTTCTTTGATTGATTTAGTAAGGTTTCTGTGACCTTTATAAGAGATTCAGTGATCTTTGTGAGATTAATGATTAATGATTCAGAGAGCTCTAAGTTTGACTTAGTAGCTATCGTGGTTTTATTATCACAAGTACACACATCGCTTAATTGTCCCCGATGGACTGGAATTGTTTGCGCTTGTGTAGTGATGTTTGTATTAGATAATGTAGTATGACACTGATTACTATTGAATTTTACTGAATTTGAAGATCGTTTATTTGAGGTTCTAGGGTAATATCCTGACCCTCGGTGATCATTGAAATATTTGGGCAATACGTGGGAACCGTTTCCGAAACTGTGCCCGTCAGCTCGGCCGGTTGCAAGTTTAAATGATTTACTCGAACTGGAGCCGGATTATTTCGCGGAAATTGGTTATTACGACTATTATTAAATATTCTCTTTCTACAATTAGTTATATGATGTCCGGGTTTTTTACAATAACTACATATAATAAATTTTCGCGGATTGGTATTAATAGTATGTTTATCTGGTGGTTTATGTATTTGAGGTTGATTGATCTGAGGTGGTTGACGAACGACATTGCTATATAGCGGTGTTGTTATTCGACTATTTTTAAACAAACTTTGCCTAGCCGTATTCATTTTTCGAATTTTTTCTTCTTGAATTGCAAAGTTTCCAGCATGAGTTAATGAATCAAAACCTTTTGTTCTCAACATTACACCTATGTCAGAACTCAATCCATTAATAAAAACGTTCAGAGCTGTTTCTTCCGTAGTAGTTTTCCGTCCTATTAATGTCGCATCTACCACTTCAGTTGTTAATTTTTCTAAAATTTTATTTCTACATAAATCTACGCGGTGGAAAAATTCCGTTACCGATTCATTTGGTTTCTGAAAGAGTGATTGTAGTTCGAGATTTAGATGTGAAAGAGTTTTTGTTTGCGAAAATTTTTGTATAAGGAACGTTTTTAAGTCGTCCCAGTTTGAGTATAGTTTCGCGTGGATATCAGAAGAAGTATTCCCACTTATTTTATTTAAAGCATAAATTAATAAAATTTCTTCCTGCTCTAGACTTGCTAATTTAAAAGCTGAATCGCACGATCTTATGAACTTATATACTTGACCCGATTGTGTTGTATCGAAATCCGGTATTAATTGTAATAAAGTATTTAGCGGAACATTTTGTTCGCAAAATTTAGGTTTTGTGTCAATATTTTGTTGTGACATAATGAATTAGAATAATTGAATTCGTAAAATTGATATAGTATAATAGAATATTAAAAATAGATAGAAAAATAGATTTTGAGTTTGAATAATAAAATTATTTTATGATTTAGGCGAAAAAGATTTATGAAAAGGAAACAGAGAAAGGAAACAGAGCAACATGTGTTGACCACTTACCCCAGTAACAGCAACAGGATACGCATTGCAGAGTATAGATTCGGCGAACTATTCAAAGCCCTTCAGGCACCGTCCTAGGATTGTTGGCGATGTTTGTCCGAGTCCCAGACGTTAAGTTCGACTTGCACTATTACGCGACGGATCCTACCGACTGCGCCAAAATTGTTATGGGGCAGGGTTTTAACACAGTTGGTGTTTTTGAAATGACTAGACTCGTAGAGTATCTGAATTGAACTGTCTTTATTATTACAAATCGTCCATATATATAGTAGAGATATCTTAATTACTATTTACAATTACAATAGTCAAATACTTCCATCGAAAGAGTGACAACAAATACAGATAATAACTTACTAATGGAAATTTGTATGAGATAAACAAATATACAAATATGAATATTAAACAATATAATGATTTCGATATCAAATGGACAAATACAAATATACAAATAGGAATGTCAAATATTATAATGATTAGGTCGTAGGCTGACACATGGTCTTAGGTCACGTACTCTTAATATATGTAACAGGGACCGTCGTTTAACGGTCAGACAGGTGGCTGAAGAGCTTAATTTGGGCAAAACCGTGGTCCACGAAATTCTAAGAAACGAACTTCAAATGAAAAAAATTTGCGCCAAGATCGTTCCGTGAGTTTTTGAGTAAAAATTCCATTTCGGTGACCGAACTCACCCCCTATTCGCCGGATTTGGCCCCGTGTGACTTCTTCTTGTTCCCAAAAACCAAATTGGTACTTCGGGGGCGGCATTTGGGGGACATAAATGAGATAAAAAAAGCTACGACGGGGCAGCTGAGAAACCTACAACCAGAGGACTTTCAAGGAGCCTTCTCACAGTGGAAACGGCGTTGGCACAAGTGCATTATGTCACAGGGGGAGTACTTTGAAGGGGATAAAATTGATTTAACTGAATAATTGTAAAATAAAATTTTTAAAAAACTTTTATACGTACTTTCCGGACAAACCTCGTATAAACCATTTGTACAGAAATATTTAACCTATTTTTACCATAATTTACGCAGGTAAAACTGCTGGATATAATATCGAATTTCTCAGAAACTCTTTTTAGCGGATGCCAATGTCAGAAAAACCATCAGTAACAAGCTCTATACAAAATCACATCTGGGTGGCCATGCGGCACTACTGCACCAATTATATCTAATTGTACTCATTAACTATGGATGGTGCGTGGGAAAGGGTAAATTCCCTTTTGATTGGAATTAAAGTCGAATGTAATTTTGATTCAACTCGACATATGAATGATATTAAATACGAAAATTTGCACACTTATTTTTGTAGTATCATGATTTCTTATTTATCATTATGCACAAATTGAACATTATGCTTTTTGGTATGAATATATATCTTTATCCCAGATTCCACAGGGTAGGTATCGCATGTTGAGATCTTCAAAAGCAAACCGATAACTCTCAACTCTTCAAATAATATACATATATATTTAATACATAAGTACATATTGTTATCTTCCACCATCACCAGTATTTTTCTCTATTGTTAGCTGTGTAATAAATAATAATTTAATAATTATACAGGTAAACAATACCTTCTCGTTAAAGTAAGATATAAATAAGTATTGTAAGTATAATTATCACGTGTTATTTACATAAACCAGGGTTAAATATACAAGATTGCTTTTATGCATAAACTAACAGACTAAATACATATAACAATCAAAAGTAAAAGAAGATGTGCATTGACATTATAATTACCGCAATTACAGAAATAAATAACTAAAAACAATAACCTACTTGAAATATTAAGTGCAGCGGTCCACTCACTCTGCATGACGGTGGAGGAGGTTCGTAACCCCATAAGCAGTTCCAAGGCATCTTTGGTACATATTTTAACTTATTATTAATTTTAATATGATTTAACAATTATTTATTATGTCATTATTTGCATTTCCTACTAAACACACAACACACAAACTGTCCTACAGCCCATTTTATTTTACCCCAAAATTATTATAAAAATTAAGTCTATTAATACGTAATAATGAATTATATCGTGACTGTGACGACTATTATTGATGTTAAAAGTAGGTGGTACAGGCGGGCGGCCGGTTTCACAGGCGCTGCAAGACTAACTAAAGTAGAAGTGTCTCTTAACCGCGCATCCAGCTGATCCCAGTCTCATCAGTCATTATCCAATATCACTATAGGTCATATATTCCCAAATTTTTGGCCAAAACTACTCGTTAATGGTACATTTTATAACTAACTTTAAAAATCACAGATAGGTAGGGACTTCACAGTAAAGGCAACTAAGTACGTGAATGAATTAGAATTCAGGTAAATTTACAAGAGGCGCCTGCTGTGACGATTTCGCTGGTCGCTCTTTTTTTTAGTCGATTGTCTGACGTCGAAACTACAAATAATATAAGCAAATCCTCAGAAAACAAACTAGATATGTGTATATATATTTTCTTTTTAATTCTTAAATTTTAAAACGAAACCGGAGGTTAGTCAACTTCAATAGGAGTATGTTTGTCGCTCTATTAGCTTGATATCTCACCCGCTAGCGTACTTATCACAACTTAAGTCTCTCGTCATGCATTAATATCACGGCATTTTATGGACATGACATAAACATGTATACAACACTTTAAATCCATTAAAACAATCTACAGGGATTATGTCTGGCTACCAGCATTATCTTATAACGATTGTCCCGCCATAGCTTTCAAATTGGTGGAGTAGGCACAAGCCGCATATGAATTTTGTAATGGGTTCATTGACTATTACTATCTAAAAATTCTGATCGTAAAACTAGAGCAGTCTCCAACAGAGAAAAGAACCAGTGCCGTTCATTTTTAATTCATCAATCTAAATAAACTACAATATATTAATATTTTCCAGAATAAACTTATTGCGATGGGTAAGTTCTAATTTATAAAGGAAAACTTAATTAAAAATTTTAGAAACGATAACAATTATTTAATATACGTAATTAGACATTATAAATGAGCGAAACAACGACTTTGGTAGAGTTAGAAACCAACCTGTAGTATAGAGCGCTGAGGTGGGTTAACCACAGGCGGCTGCTGTCGGTCCCGCGACCACGGACAACTCCAAGGCATATTTCAGATGTTATGATCCTTTTATAATAGGTCTTTGCACTATTGACCCTCTACATAAGTATATTTGTAGCACTAAACACAGCTGTGAAACTCTACATTAGGGTGTAGAGCTTACAACGGTGAATTAAAAACGTCTTAAAGCTATTTACATTTTTTGAGGCAAAGGTTACGTATTCAACATGTTTCTAAACGTAACGCTCGTATGATATGAGCGTACAATACGCGTGCAACAGGATAAAAAAAGGACGCATGCGTGCGAACCGTAGACCGCGCGTGTCGGGACTACACGGCACTTGGATCGGCTGTCCGGACTCTCCAGGCTAAATACACCATCCCAAACACTCCCGAACTAAGCTCCCGCCGTCGGTCGTGCGCACGCCCGCCCCCCGTCAAGAATACGAACCACTAAGAACAAAAAAAATGGTACCTATGCAGATAACAGAGACCGTCTTTTTTTAAAACGGTTAAATGTAATATTTGTAAAAACTTTACAAAAGTTTTAAATACCAAGTAAACATTATCCGCATGAATTAAAATAATAACATATGGTATGTTAGTCTGGTACCAAATTTCATTCACATCCCTTCAGTCGTTTAAGCGTGATTAATTAACAAATATGTATAAAAATATCTTTACCAACTTAGTTAATTAATAACATTAATAAGTAACTTTAATTATTGGTCCAGACCATTCATTAATCTAAGAGTACGAAATAGTTTGACCAAGTCTATGTTGAGTACCCACGCATATGATTCCGTAGCCTGCCATCTTTATGCTATGCTATGGTGCAAATAAGTTCGGAGGAGAAATAAATTCTTAAAAATAGCATTTAAAAATATCTACAACACCACATTTAATGCGATTCAAAATAAAAAAAAAAAAAATTCAACAATTCGACGTATGAAAAGATCCGTTGAAAAAAAAAGCGCGGGAAACGTTTAAAAAAGCGGGAGTGTTTTTTGATCTTCTTTAAATTAATTTTATTTTTAATTATATAAGGATTAGTTTTATTTATATATTGTGTATTAGATTGTATATATAATTGTATATTTTGTAGTAATAGTGTTTGTTGCTGTAAATATTGGTAAGTAAATTACCTATATTAATTAGACATTATGGATCCACCTATAGACCCTGGGGGGACAATCCCCCAGGTGTCTGCAAATATAACTATCCCATTTAATAATAGTTTTGATATATTGGGTGAATCTAGTATGGACACAGATGGTTCTAGCGTTGCAAGTTCTAAACGTAAGCGAGTACGTGGCGAACGTCGCATTTGCAAACATTGCAATAAAAAACGAAGGAGGCACACCAAAGGTCTCGAATCTAAAATTAAAGATAGTGATTGTCAATGTATTGAGGATGAGAATCAAACTCTAGTATCAATACCAGTTGTAAATAATACCGAGTCTGTTAAACCTGCTTCTCCACCCAGTACTTTAAGCAGAACTTTGTACAATGCCGAGGATGTAGCTCCTTATGTCGTTCATGTACAAAAAAATGAAACACATCCTAATGATAACACTACATTACATCCTATTGCATTTGGTCGCTTTTTACACACTAATAAGATAAATAATATAGTGAATGGTAGCCTCAAAAGAATAGGAAGAAACCGTTTATCGCTTTCTTTCTCAAATTTTGAAAATGCAAATGCATTTTTAAATAATAGTCACTTAGAAACACATAATTTTAAGGCATTTATACCTTCTTTCCATGTAACCCGTATGGGAATTGTGAGGGGTATTCCTAAAGATTGGACAGAAGAGGAAGTAATCCAAAATATATCAGTACCTATAGGTTGT